TTCCCAGGATATAAAAGGAAAAGTAATAAACCAAGAGCTATTAAGATAAAATAAAAAAAAACTTAGATGAGTTTTTTATAAAAAATGTGTACATGTATGTGTAGTGTGACTTAAGTGTAAGTAGAAGTAGCAAGACAACCTGTAATCTTGCATATTTATGGACAGACAAAAGACATCAGCAATCCTACCATCTTTGTAAAAAAATTTAAGGCTTTTGTTTTACACTCATTTGGGCAGATGGTAGTACTTCCCTGGGGGGATATATATATATATATATATATATATATATATATATATATATATATATATATATATATAATATAAATAAGCGTGTATGCACCTGGAAAGAGAGGAATGTAAGAAAAAGAGAGAGATTTTGGGAGATTTAATGAATGTATGGGAGTTTTTTGAACCAAGTGAGAGAGTAATTGTGGTAGGGGATCTGAATGCTAAAGTAGGAGAAACTTTTAGAGAGGGTGTGGTAGGTAAGTTTGGGGTGCCAGGTGTAAATGATAATGGGAGCCCTTTGATTGAACTGTGTATAGAAAGGGGTTTAGTTATTATTATTTTTATTATCACACTGGCCGATTCCCACCAAGGCAGGGTGGCCCGAAAAAGAAAAACTTTCACCATCATTCACTCCATCACTGTCTTGCCACTGTCTTGGGTTTAGTTATAGGTAATACATATTTTAAGAAAAAGAGGATAAATAAGTATACAAGATATGATGTAGGGCTAAATGACTGTAGTTTGTTGGATTATGTATTGGTAGATAAAAGACTGTTGAGTAGACTTCAGGATGTACATGTTTATAGAGAGGCCACAGATATATCAGATCACTTTCTAGTTGTAGCTACACTGAGAGTAAAAGGTAGATGGGATACAAGGAGAATAGAAGCATCAGGGAAGAGAGAGGTGAAGGTTTATAAACTAAAAGAGGAGGCAGTTAGGGTAAGATATAAACAGCTATTGGAGGAAAGATGGGCTAATGAGAGCATAGGCAATGGGGTCGAAGAGGTATGGGGTAGGTTTAAAATGTAATGTTAGAGTGTTCAGCAGAATTTGTGGTTACAGGAAAGTGGGTGCGGGAGGGAAGAGGAGTGATTGGTGAATGATGATGTAAAGAGAGTAGTAAGGGAGAAAAAGTAACATATGAGCAAGATTTTACAAAGTAGAAGTATGCAGGAGGGAAGAGTATAAGGGGAAATGAGAGAGGTTAAGGAGAGTGGTGAAGCAATTAAAAAGAAGCAAATGACATAAAAGAGTGGGTGAGATGTTTATCAACAAATTTTGTTAAAATAAGAAAAGTTTTTGGAGTGAGATTAACAAGTTAAGAAAGCCTAGAGAACCAATTGGATTTGTCAGTTAAAAATAGGATAGGAGAGTTATTAAATGGAGAGTAAGAGGTATTGGAAGATGGAGGTAATATTTTTGAGTGAATTGTTAAATGTTGATGAGATAGGGAAGCTGTGATTTCGTGGTATAGGGCAAGGAGAATAACATCTTGTAGGAGTGAGGAAAAGCCAGTTGTGAGATGTGGGGGAAGTTCGTGAGCAGTAAGGAAAATGAAAGGGGTAAGGCAGCTGGGATTGTGGGATAAAAATAGAAATTGTTAAAATAAGCAGTGGGGATATAGTTTTGGAGTGGTTGTGCAATTATTTAACCCTTTGAGGGTCGACAGAGCCCTCTCCGAAACTCGTTCTCAGGGTCGGCCAAATTTAAAAAAAAAAAATTATTATCTCCTTTATGAAAAGATAAGAATCTTTTCCCGATCATAAAGACACACAACAAGTTTGAAATTGATAGAAAACGTACGGAATTATCTCTGCAAAGTTTACGGTCTCGGCGATGTTTACGCATCGGCGATTTTGCCCACTTTGAGCCCATTTTCGCCAATTTCCACTGTACTAGTCGACAAAAAATCTGAATATTTCGCTAGAACTCCATTTTTTCGTGCGTTTGGGGGCAAGAAACCACTCATTTATGAAATTTCACTATCCAGTACAGTGGGTCAGTAATTTAGCAATTTTGCCAATATCACACAAAATTCAAAAGATGGCAAATTTCCGAATATGGTCTAGAATAAACAAAAAGACATTCCTGGCACTAAAAATGAATTTCCTCTAGTGCATTAGTCACGTCTCAGGTCCAATCTTATAATTCTTTTGCTTTCCACTTTGATTTTATTTTCACAAAAAATATAAGATTACTGTTATGCAGACTACTGCATTAGTGTATAAAATGGTATAAATATTATTGGTGCTCTTGGAAAGAATATTAGACTCACCGTTGAAACGTTATTGCACGCTTGGCACGATTGTTTACCTTTTGAAGTTTTGGTAAAAATCGAACATTTCCTGCAACTTTGAGCTCAATTTCAAGCACCGTTCTTTTGTAAAACCATCAAATCATCACAATTCTGTAATATGTCTTCCATTCTATAAAATGAGAACCAAGAAAACTAAATACAAACAATAAATACCCATACGAAAAATACACTGCAAAGGGGGGTCGGCTGAATTTATTAAATTTTTTTGGGGGGGGGAAAGTTTTTTGTTTTCTCATATGCCACTGTGTGCTGCAGGATTTTTTTTTCAGACTGTGGCACACTGACCACAAAGACCCTTTCTTCATTTGAAAGGCCTACCAGCTTCTCCCCACTAGATTTGAGGGCCGCCTAGAATTTACGAGTAGTACGTACGTCAAAAACCCCTACGCGTAAGACGTACTAGTACGACGAAAACCCTCAAAGGGTTAATAAATGTATGGAAGAGGGTATGGTACCTAGGGTTTGGCAGAGAGCATGCATAGTTCTTTTGTATAAAGGCAAAGGGGACAAAAGAGAGTGCAAAAATTATAGGGGGATAAGTTTGTTGAGTATACCTGGTAAAGTGTATGGTAGAGTTATTATTGAAAGAATTAAGAGTAAGACGGAGAATAGGATAGCAGATGAACAAGGAGGCTTTAGGAAAGGTAGGGGTGTGTGGACCAGGTGTTTACAGTGAAACATGTAAGTGAACAGTATTTAGATAGGCTAAAGAGGTCTTTGTGGCATTTTATGGATTTGGAAAAGCGTATACAGGGTGGATAGGGGGGCAATGTGGCAGATGTTGCAGGTGAAATGGTGTAGGAGGTAGGTTACTGAAAGCAGTGAAGAGTTTTTTACGAGGATAGTGAGGCTCAAGTTAGAGTATGTAGGAAAGAGGGAAATTATTTCCCAGTAAAAGTAGGCCTTAGACAAGGATGTGTGATGTCACTGTGGTTGTTTAATATATTTATAGATGGGGTTTGTAAGAGAAGTAAATGTGAGGGTCTTGGCAAGAGGCGTGGAGTTAAAAGATAAAGAATCACACATAAAGTGGGAGTTGTCACAGTTGCTCTTTGCTGATGACACTGTGCTCTTGGGAGATTCTGAAGAGAAGTTGCAGAGATTGTGGATGAATTTGGTAAGGTGTGCAAAAGAAGAAAATTAAAAGTGAATACAGGAAAGAGTAAGGTTATGAGGATAACAAAAAGATTAGGTGATAAAAGATTGGATATCAGATTGGAGGAAGAGAGTATGGAGGAGGTGAATGTATTCAGATATTTGGGAGTGGACGTGTCAGTGGATGGGTCTATGAAAGATGAGGTGAATCATAGAATTGACGAGGGGAAAAGGGTGAGGGGTGCACTTAGGAGTCGTGGAGACAAAGAACTTTGTCCTTTGAGGCAAAGAGGGGAATGTATGAGAGTATAGTTTTACCAATGCTCTTATATGGGTGTGAAGCATGGGTGATGAATGTTGCAAGCGAGGAAAGGCGGGAGGCAGTGGAGATGTCATGTCTGAGGGCAATGTGTGGTGTGAATATAATGCAAGACTTCGTATTTTGGAAGTTAGGAGAAGGTGCGGGATTACCAAAACTTTTTGTCCAGAGGGCTGGGGAAAGGGGTTTGTTGGGGTGGTTCGGACATGTAGAAAGAATGGAGCAAAACGAATGACTTCAAGAGTGTATCAGTCTGTAGTGGAAGGAAGGCGGGGTAGGGGTCGGCCTAGGAAAGGTTGGAGGGAGGGGATAAAGGAGGTTTTGTTGCGAGGGGCTTGGACTTCCAGCAGGCATGCGTGAGCGTGTTTGATAGGAGTGAATGAGACAAAGGGTTTTTTTAATACTTGATGTGCTGTTGGAGTATGAGCAAAGTAACATTATAAAGGGGGTTCGGGGAAAACCCGGGCGGGCCGGGACTCGAGTCCTGGAGATGGGAAGTACAGTGCCTGCACTCTGAAGGGGGGGTGTTAATGTTGCAGTTAAAAACTGTAGTGTAAAGCACCCTTCTGGCAAGACAGTGAGGGAGTAAATGATGGTGAAAGTTTTCCCTTTTTGGGCCACCCTGCCTTGGTGGAATCGGCCAGTGTTGATAATAAATATATATATATATATTATTTTATATAAAAATATATATATATATATAAAATATATATATATATATATATATATATATATAAATATATACATACATACATACATACATACATACATATATATATATATATATATATATATATATATATATATATATATATATATATATATATACATATATATATACAGTGGACCCCCGGTTAACGATATTTTTCCACTCCAGAAGTATGTTCAGGTGCCAGTACTGACCGAATTTGTTCCCATAAGAAATATTGTGAAGTAGATTAGTCCATTTCAGACCCCCAAACATACACGTACAAACGCACTTACATAAATACACTTACATAATTGGTCACATTCGGAGGTAATCGTTATGCGGGGGTCCACTGTATATATTTTCAACAAGTCGGTCGTTGTAAAACCCAGTTATAGAGTGGAAGTGGAAAAATTGTCACACTCTAAGTTAGTATTCATTTATGAGGGAGTAAAATACATTCTTGAAGGCCATTAAACCCCAGTAAAATTTCTTTCCAGCTTTTTTTTTTTTTTTTTAAATTGTGTGTCATTTATTATTCAGTATAGTAATTGATATCTTTAATACAGGAAAATATATATCTGCAGTTCTGCTGACACTAAACAGCATGTTAGTGATGGAACTGCCTACTGTTAACATACTCTCAAAGGTAAATACTTTAAAATATTTGTGCATATTTAAATTTGTTGATTTGCATTATAAAAATTTATAAGGATTTGTAGAGTTATCTGAACTCTTTCTGTCCTAATTTTAGATATTAGAAAATTTATTTTAAGATTAAACAGGTTTTTTATATTTTTTTCTGTGATTTTTTTCCATGTACAGATTAGGCAAGTCTCTCTCATATATTCATTCAGCAGAGGACTTTTTATGTGGTTTATGGCAGTCTCAGCAATTTAAAGATTTTACAGTAAATAATCTCCATGTGTTTCCAAACTTGGCCAGCTCTCCTGACTTGAAAGGAGATGACAGGACAGAACAGTGTTCTTAATAAAAGTGTTTTGAAAAGTATAATCTTTGGCATGGTATCCTAGTTTTAGTTGCAATATTCTTTGTTATACTAAACATTAGATCAGATGACCGTGTCCCGTAGCTCGATCACTAGTGCACTCAGCTCGTACACTGAGGTCTGGAGTTCGAATGTCCGGTATGGCTGGAAGACATTAGGGATGTGTTTCCATAAAACACCTGCTGTCCCTGTTCACCCATCAATATAAAATGGATACCTGGGTGTTAGTCGACTTGTGTGGGTCACATCCTGGGACAGAATTGACCTAATATGCCCGAAATGCTCAGCATAACAAGGGTCTTTCTGTTTAGTAGTATGTCATTGTTGTCAGCTAGGTCTGTATTCCTTGTACATGTACTTGTAGAAATAAAGATATATTTTTATTATTATTATTTTTGTTATTATCATTATTAATCTATAGATTTTTTATCTATTCTATGACTTTCTCAGCATCTTGTGTCCTGTATTTCTTCTTAGTTTTGTTTCTTTGTGTTGAAATGGTAGGATATTGTCACCATTGTTATTTTCCATTGGCTGATGGGAAAGACTGATGTTATGTATTATTATTAAGACATTCCAATGCATTACAGTTTTTTCCAATTTTGTCTTTACTTTTACGTCATCCTTTAACCCTTTCAGGGTCCAAGGCCCAAATCTGGAGTCACGCACCAGTGTCCAAGAATTTTCAAAAAAAAAAATTTGTTATTTTTTCTTATGAAATCATAGAGAATCTTTTTGTGAAGGTAATAAAAACAAAAAGTACGAAATTTGGTGGAAAATTGACGAAATTATGCTCTCGCGAATTTTGATGTGTCAGCGATATTTACGAATCGGCAATTTTGCCGACTTTGACTCCCATTTTAGGCCAATTACATTATTCCAATCAACCAAATTCTTAGCTATTTCACTAGTATTACTTCTATTCTATCGATTGAGCACAAAAATCGCCAAGTCAACTGTTTCAACTACAAAATAAAAGTGATCAGAAATTGTTAATTTGGCCAATTTAACACAAATTTCAAAATATCCAATTTTAAAAAAGGGTCCAAATGAACAATGTAGGCATTCCTGGCACTAAACTAACATTTCCTCTGTCATTAGTTATCTTTTGAGGGTTTACAAAAAAATCCATTTTGATTTTTTATTCACATAATGAATTTTTATTCACACCAAAAAATAGAAGATTTACTGTTATGCAATACTGTAATAATTGTATAAATATCATCACCATATTTGTGAATGTACAATTAGACCCACCACTGACGTGTATTAGACGTGTGAGGTCGTTTGTTTACTCTTGAATATCGGGAAAAAATTTAACATTTCTGCTACTTTGAGCTCAGTTTCAAGCCATTTCCAGTGCTAAAACCAATCAAAGTCATCTCTGTTTTTTTGTAATATGTATTCCATTCTATCAAATGAGACCAAGAAATCGCAAATACAACTATAAAAAACATACGAAAAAACACTGCAAAGTTGCTGTTTTAATCGAAAAATCATGATTTCATTTTTTTTCTCTCATTATACACAGTGTGCTGCAGGATCTGTTTTATGTGGTGCACACATGCCACATAGATGTATTCTCTCATATCTAGGCCCAAATGTACCACTCACAGTTTATCAGAGTGAGCTGAGCTCATGGCGTAGATCTACGGTTTGGACCCTGAACATAAAGCCGTAGATCTATGGGATGGACCCTGAAAGGGTTAATGTTTTGTTGCTTATTGTTTTATAACTTATGTGTTGGCTGAGGGCAAACATTTTCCTTGGCACACATCCTTTTTTTTCCATTGTAAACAAGCGATGTTTCCAGCATCTTTATGAGAACAGATGAAGTCCATTAAATCGGAAATTAATTTCCCAGCGAACCATAAAAATAATGGACATTTCTAGATTTAATGGACTTTATCTGTTGCTTTTGAGCATTGTCCAGTCACAGATTTTTGTCTCGTTAAATCTGAAATGCCTTAAATCGAGGTTTTACTGTATTTCTCAACATGAAAATAATTTCTTCAGGTTCCCTCTATTAAAATAAATTTGATTAAGAAATGTGTAGCCAATTTCCTCATATCTGGGTTCACACTAACATTATTTTGTAAATATTTTCTAATATCATTTATCAAATACTGTATATACATTTTTTATAAATTTTTCTTTTGTGCATGCTTTTATCATAACTCTCACATAGACATCGATCATGAAATATGGACTTTTTATTTTTTATGTTGGCCATTTTCATTTTACTTAGCACAAGACCACTTTATTTAAATTAAACAGTTGTGCTCATTGATGAAAAAGACCCAATTAGTTCTTCCTTCATGAGGAAGGGAAGTTGAAAGTTAAGACACTTTTGCAACATCTCGTTATCTTTATTGTAGACGTTTCGCCATCCAGTGGCTTTATCAATACAGATTCTTGGACATAACAAGAAAACAGAAGAACTATATACAAAAGATGATGTAATTAGTCCGTCAGCCTTAGAGGTGGTGTTTAGAGCACCGTGGTTGTAGAGATTCTGAAGCAGAGGCAAGGAGACTGGCGCTTATGTAGGCGTCAGTGAATAGGGACGTGTAGCAGACGAGGGCATAGTCACTGGTTGGCGGGATTCCCCAGTGGAAGTAGGCCCTACCCAAATTGATGGGTTAGTTGTAGTAGCCTTGAAGAAGGTAATGTAGATGTCCTCTGAACCAAGATTCCATGATGTTGCAGTGCCTGACAAGTTGTGCAAGACAGGTATACAATACCGACAAGATGAAAGTTAAGACACTTGTGCAACATCTGGTTGTCTTTATTGTAGATGTTTCGCCACTGGGGAATCCTGCATACCAATGACTATGCCCTCGTCTGCTACACGTCCCTATTCACTGATGCCTATATAAGCGCCAGTCTCCTTGCCTCTGCTTCAGAATCTCTACAACCATGGTGCTCTAAACACCACCTCCAAGGCTGAGGGACTGATTATCTCATCTTTTGTATATAGCTCTTCTGTTTTCTTGTTATGCCCAAAAATCTGTATTGATAAAGCCACTGGATGGCAAAACATCTACAATAAAGATAACCAGATGTTGCACAAGTGTCTTAACTTTACACAAATAACCCACACATAGAAGAGAGGAGCTTATGATGACGTTTCGGTCCGACTTGGACCATTTACTTTGTAAATGGTCCAAGTCGGACTGAAATGTCATTGTAAGCTCCTCTCTTCTATGTGCGGCTTATTGGTGTATCGTTCCAGTCACGGTATTGTGCCTTTTTTTGTCTTAACTTTCATCTTGTCGGTATTGTATACCTGTCTTGCACAGGAAGGGAAGTGTATTTGTAAACAAGTGTCTAACAAAAAAGTGACAGAACCTTCTGTATAGCTTAAGAAAACTCAAACACGAACATTAGGTCAAGATTCATAAGTGTTGTATCCGAGGTGGCAAAATCATGGTTACAAAATCAGCCACAGGTTGCATATATGAAATTAATGAACACAAATTAGTGGTCTTCATTATACTCAAAGGTTTCACTGAGACCATATAGTCCACAGCTTATTCAGTAACTACAAACATCAGTGATAAATGTGAATTAGATCTTGCCACTGAATGTTACACCCTTTTGTTCATTTTAAGTAGACAATTTCTACTTGTTATTTTGGCAATGATATATTTTTACATATTATTTTGGCTTTTTCACTCAATATATTCAGGAGTAATTCCATTAGTACCTAAAATGGACTTACTTCACTTTATAATATTATCTGGCTGTAAATTATTTAGCTTTGTACATAGGTGGTAGATTGTTTAATCATTCTAATGGTTGGTGCGACCTGGCTAAGCACCAGTAGGCGATTTGAGCTACTCAACCCCTGCTCCGACCGAGTCAAGGTTGGCTGGTAAAGCCTCACCTTATTCAGTTCATACCTTCCACTGGACCAGGAAGGGTCTAAGGAAGTATCCAGCTTTAACCCCTTGACCGTTGAAACCCCATATCCTGAGGTGTCTTCTGGTGTTGAAAAATTTTTGAGAAAAAAAAAAAAAATTTCCTATGAAATGATAGAGAATCTTTTCCCGATGGTAATGACACCAAAAACATGAAATTTGAGGAAAAACTTATGGAATTACGCTCTTGTGAAGTTAGCTACCTCGGCGATATTTACGAATCGGCCCTATTTACGAATTGAGCCCTATTCTCAGCTAATTCCATTGTTCCAGTCGACCAAACTATTTCTTTAGAACTCCATTTGTTCTTTCGAGTGAGTACAAGAAACTGCTCATTTATCGACTTCAACTACCTAATAACGTGGTCAGAAATTTTCTATTTGGCCAATTTCATGCAAATTATAAAATTTGCTAATTTCAAAATAGAGTCGAGAATGAACAACGCAGACATTCCTGGCTCTAAAATAACATTTTCTTTGTTCATCAGTCACGTCTCCAGGCCCCTCTGATATTACTCTTGCATTCTATTTTGAATTTTTATTCAAATGAAAAATAGAAGATTTACTGTTATGCAGACTACTGCAATATTGTAATAATTGTATAAATAATGTCAACCCATTCATGACTGCATATTAGAATGGCTACTTGGCCATTTATTGGACAATGATATCATTTGTTTACTTTTGAACATCGGCAAAAATCAAACATTTCCCTTAC